ATTCTCCTTTTTTGGTAGGGTCTTTGCCTGGTTTGGGGATCAAGGTAATGCTGGCTTCATAGAAAGAGTCTGGAAATTTTCCTTCTGCTTCAATTTTTTGAAACCGCTTCAGAAGAGTAGGTGTTATTTCTTCTTTGAAAGTTTGGTAGAATTCCCCAGGGAATCCATCAGGTCCTGGGCTCTAGTTTTTGGGGAGGTTTTTGATCACTGCTTCAATCTCGTTACTAGATATCGGTCTATTCAAGTTGTCGATTTCTTCCTGGTTCAATTTTGTGAGTTTATAGTTTTCCAGGAATGCATCCATTTCATCTAGGTTGCTTAGCTTATTGGCATAGAACTGTTGATAATAACTTCTGATGACTGTTTCTACTTCCTTGGTGTTAGTTGTGATCTCTCCCTTTTCATTCATAATTTTACTAATTTGGGCTTTCTCTCTTTTCTTTTGGATTAGTGTGGCCAATGGTTCATCGATCTTATTGATTCTTTCAAAACACCAGCTTCTACTTTCATTGATATGTTCTACTCTATCTCTGGTTTCTACCTCATTGATCTCAGCTCTAATCTTGATTATTTCCCTTCTTATGTGTGAAGTTGGTTTGATTTGTTGTTGATTCTCCAGTTCTTTAAGGTGTAGAGACAGCTGGTGTATTCTGGATTTTTCGATTTTTTTGAGGGAGGCTTGGATGGCTATGTATTTCCCCCTTAGGACCGCCTTTGCTGTATCCCATAGGTTTTGGACCGAAGTGTCTTCATTCTCACTGGTTTCCATGAATTGTTTCAGTTCTCCTTTGATCTCCTGGTTGATCCAAGCATTCTTAAGCAAGGTGGTCTTTAGCTTCCAGGTGTTTGAGTTGCATGGTGGTAATTCTGAATACCTCCCTTACATCTTACCTATTTGGCATGTGCAGAACTTATAGATCTTGGAGAATGACAGCCAATTATAAGCTTACTTGGTTGTTGACATCAGTTACAATGGCTGTGCCACTTGTGGCGCCAGTGTTTTAGCCACCAACACATTCCTGGGCATCTGATATATCTATTTGGTTGAGCAAATTATTTTTTTTTTCTCTTTTAGGAAACATCACCAGAAAGAGTTTGCCTTCAGCTGGAAAGGGCACCATCATTTCCTACCTCGGGCGTATATCAGTTCTCTGAGCTAATGTCAGAAACTCTTCCTTAGGGAACTTGATCATCTTTCTCTTACAATGGATACCACACTATTTTTTTTTTTTTTGCACTGAGGACATTACTGTGATGGAGAAGTAGAAACAATAGACACATTGGCAACACACTTGAAAGACAGAACATAGGAAATAATTCCCACACAATATCAGAGGCTTTGCAACTTAGTGAAATGTTTAGAGATTTAGTATTCTGGGGCAGGACAAGATTGTGCTACTACAGTGAACAACAGATTGACAAATCTCAACTTTCAGCCCATTAAAAAAGTGAAAAGAAGGGCCATCTGTACCCCAATGTTCATAGCAGCAATGGCCACAGTCGCCAAACTGTGGAAAGAATCAAGATGCCCTTCAAGGGATGAATGAATAAGGAAGATGTGTTCCATATATACTATGCAGTATTATGCCTCCATCAGAAAGGATGAATACCCAACTTTTGTATCAACATGGACAGGAGTGGAAGAGATTATGCTGAGTGAAATAAGTCAAGCAGAGAGAGTGAATTATCATGTGGTTTCACTTATTTGTGGAGCATAAGGAATAACATGGAAGACATGGGGAGATGGAGAGCAGAAGGGAGTTGGGGGAAATTAGAGGGGGAGATGAACCATGAGAGACTGTGGACTCTGAAAAACAATCTGAGGGTTTTGGAGAGGTGGGGGTTGGGAGGTTGGGTGAGCCTGGTGGTGGGTATTATGGAGGGTACATATTGCATGGAGCACTGGGTGTGGTGAATAAACAATGAATTCTGGAACACTGAAAATAAATTTAAAATAAGAATAAAATTTTTTTAAAGAAAAGTGATGCAGAAGGGGAGCCTGGGTGGCTCAGTGGGTTAAGCCTCTGCCTTCGGCCTAGGTCATGATCTCAGGGTCTTGGGATCGAGCCCCACATCAGGCTCTCTGCTCAGCAGGGAGCCTGCTTCCCTCTCTCTCTTTCTCTGCCTGCCTCTCTGCCTACTTGTAATCTCTCTGTCAAAAATAAATAAATAAAATCTTTTTTAAAAAGTGATGCAGCAAAGAGTTGACCTATGAGGTGCTGGTGAAAACACATATCGTTATGGTTTTCTGGTACCATGACCCTCTGATAGGTGACCTGAGAACTGGGTAGCTTGGAGTAGGGCCCAGAATAAAGTTCTCTGACCCTACACCTATGCCCTCATGGGGAGCTCCATGTGATCACTTGACAGGAAAAGAAAAAGCATCATGCCTGATTTTCGCTTGGGACATTCCAATATGCAGGCACTTGTCCATATTAGTTTTCTATTAGTACATAATGAGTTACTCTATATTTAGCAGTGTGAAATGACACAAATGTATGATCAAAGAGTTCCATAGGTTTTGGAGGGAGGGGTGGGGGGGGGGTGAGCTTGGTGGTTGGTATTGCAGGGGGCACATACTGCATGGACCACTGGGTGTGGTGCACAAGCAAGGAATTTTGGAACACTGAAAATTAAATTAAATTAAATTTTTTAAAAAATGTTCAGACAAGCTCGATTGGGTTCTCTGCCTAGGGTTGCACGCAATTGAACTCTAGATGTTGTGCATACTGGGTCGTTACATGGAGACTCAGATAGTGAAACCACTTCCAAGCCCTTCCAGGTGAGTGGCACCTCTAGTTTTGTAAGGTTGTAGGACTGAGGTCCCCATTGCCTTGCTATATCTCAGCTGAGGCCACTCTGAAGTCCTAGGACCACCCCCATACCTCCCTAGGTGCACCCCCTCCATCTTCCAAGCTGTAATGATGCATCATAGTCATGGAAAGAGGAATGCAGATTATGCAGGACCATAAACATGAAATTCCACTTAGCAAGACTGGTGGTGTTGCCGATACTACCGACTGCTCCATGGCCAGCAGCACAGACCAACACTGAGCTCCTGATATGGCACCACATCCCCCAAGTGGTCAGTCAGCTAATATCAATAGGCAGATGGATTATTTTGGTTTCCTTTCATCAGGGAAAGGGAACACTTTGTACTCAGACACTGATACTGGAAATGGATCTTCCTTTCCACCCATAGATTTTTGAGAAAACCGACATTCATGGATTTAGAAAATGCCTTACCCACTGTTATGGTACTCCACAAAGCATCACTTGCAAACAAGGAAAGTGCTTCTCAGGGCACATGTTTATCGAATTCAGTAGGTGTATTATCTACCTCAACATCCCGAAGTGAAGGTCTCAAAAATGTCCTGGAATGATCTTTTAAACCCACAGTTATGGTTCTAACTTGGCAGCAGTACCTTGAGGGGCTGGGGTAATATAATTTTAGAGGATGTAAATCCTCTACCTCATTGACCAGTGTATGCGGATGTCTCTCCCATAAACATGATTCACATCTTTATTAATGAAGGGATGGCAATGTGAGGGGCTCCTCTCATTATTACTCTTATGTATCCAGGAGCCAAATTTTGCTTCTTGGTCCCCACAACCTTGGGCTTCCCTGCACTAGATGGCTTTATCCAAAGGAGAAATGCTTTCCACAAGAGCCCTAACAATGACTCCATTGAGATGCAAACAGACTCTGCCAAGAGCTCAGGCTGGAGTGTTCCTCTCTGTCAATCATCAAGCAAACATGGGGATCCCGATGTTGGGTCCACGGTCAAAGGAACGAGACTGATACAAAGCGAAGGTCAAGCAAAGCTTTATTTTGCGCCAAGCATCGAGAATCAAACTGACCAGTCAGGGCCATCTCTGACAAAGAGGTGACCTCTCTCTGCCTTACAGACTAGCTTTTAAGGGCAAGGGCCATGTGGTTGGGCCTGGCCATGCACAGGTGGTCAATGAGGTTGTAACACGCAGAGAAAGCTGCACAGTCATGCTAGGCCACACATAAGTGACCAGTTGAATTACAATTTACCCTATAGTAGATATTTGAACTAGCCTATCACCTTGGTCAGAATTGGTGCCCAAAAGGCACCCAAAGGGCGGGGCCCATACTCCTTGGTAGCTACCCTTGTATTTGGGCTTTGTTACCTGCGACTGGTTTCCCAGACTTGCTTTTGAGTAAGTCCCCTGGTGGGGGGGGGACAGGGTCAGTTTAAGTTTTACTGCATAAACAACAAAATGACTGTTTAATCCAAGATGGAATCGCTCTGGCTAAATAGGACCTTACGCTAAGCATTGTGGGGAGATGGAACCTGACTGGTGAGAACACAAGGATGCCATGACACAAAATCCTGAGGAGGACTATGTCCATGATGTTTGGGTTTTTCTCAGCACTCTCATGTTGGTGATTAAAGTCAAAGGGAAATTATAGCAACTCATTTCGGGCAGGACATCTAATCATCAGGTCCATCAGTATTTAAGCTGTGAGTCATCCCCTCAGGCCAAGCCACATGACCAGCTGAGGGGATGATCTCAGGCAAAAGGAAAAGAAATGGATAACCTTATAGGGTGCTGGCTGGCTCAGTCAGTGGAGCAAGTGACTGTTGATCTCGAGGTTGTGAGTTCGAGCCCCATATTGGGTACACATTACTTAAAATATAAAATTTAAGAAAATAAATGGCTAGTGTAGAAGACAGCTATAAATACCAGCTATAGTCCTGTGACCAGCTAAGGAGCTAGGATATAATGTAGACTGGTCACTTCAGAGCATTTCCCTACTTCAGGGAGAAAACAAAAAGACAAATAGCAAATTATGCTTTTAAATGCATTGCTAAATCCAACTTTACTAACAGAAATTTATAACATTAAAGATCCAATGCCTCAAGAGGACAATCTTCTTAACTAACATGTGCTAGAAGGCATCAAAAAGTTCCATTCTAGGAGAGCAAACTGGTTCAGGTTACACATTGATAACATATTAATAGAATTACAATTTCGGGGTGTGATTGTCTTTCTTGAGGAGGTGGTCAGGTTCTAATTTTTCTAATGCCTTTTGCGGGTGCCTTATTAAGTCTTGTCTTTTAAATCTGAAAATAAAGAGACAAGTCATTAACCAAAAAACACCCAAAGAACCCATAATGTAGGAGGCTCCATGGGGGGTATAAAGGGGAACTCTCAATCTATATGGGAATAGGAAATGGACTGTCATGATAAAGGACAATCCAGAAAATACAAAGAGTGTCAGTTCAGGGTCAACACCTACCTCAAACTCTGATGTGAACAGAATTCTTGAATTTGGAAGAGTAAATGAGACTCAGATAATATCAGTCTAAATAATGACAGAGACAACAGGAAATCTGATTGAAGACCAGGGTTGAGAAAGGACAGGCCGGGCCCACCCTCTCCCCCTCAACCCCACCACACTGGACCCCGCTGTGCTACAGTTTCTCTCTATACCCACCTTGCTGTTTCTTTGATGGAAAATAAAACAAAATTTTTCCCACAATTCTAAAGATGCTTCCATGCCTTTAAGCAATTTGAAGACTCTTTCATATTCTGGAAATATTTAGAAAAAAATCTTCAGTATTTCTAAAGTACAAAGAGGAGGTAGAACTCCATCTTGGTGTCTCCAGAATTATTCAAGGGCTAGAATGTTAGAGTACCTGTGTTTTCCATGGTTACAATCAGATACCCAAGCAGATCCACCAATGGAACTCTGGTACTCAATAACCAATTAAGTAATACAAAAGAAAAATGACAGAAAAAAGTTTTATTGGGACATTTCAGTCAAAATAAAGAGGAACCATGCTAAATTATATTAAAACACAATTCTGGCAAAGGATGAAATTTAAGAGGTCCATTCAATCTAGTTTACATCACAGAATGGGAAAGAATTCCTGTGGTTTCACGATAATAAATTCTGATGCTACTTACTTTGTCCATATTGTTGAATTCCCTTCTCTCTCTTTTTTATTATGTTATGTTAGTCACCATATAGTACTTCATTAGTTCTTTTTTTTTTTATTTGACAGATAGAGATCACAAGTAGGCAGAGAGGCAGGCAGAGAGAGAGGGAGGAGGAAGCAGGCTCCCTGCTGAGCAGAGAGCCCGATGCGGGGCTCGATCCCAGGACCCTGGGATCATGACCTGAGCCGAAGGCAGAGGCCTTAACCCACTGAGCCACCCAGGCGCCCTGTACTTCATTAGTTCTTGATGTAGTGTTCCATGATTCATTATTTGCATATAACACCCAATGTTCATTACAATACATGCCCTCCTTAGCACCCATCACTGGGCTAACCCATCCCCCCCACCTGTCTCCCCTCTAAAACCCTCAGTTTGTTTCCCAGAGTTAATAGTCTCTCATGGTTCATCTCCCCCACTGATATATACAATGTGTATATCTATCTATCTATACACACATACACACAATGAAATATTGCTCAGACAGTAAAAAGAATGAAATTTTACCATTTGCAACAATGTGGAAAGAGCTAGAGTGTATTATGCTAAGCGAAATAAGTCAGTCAGAGAAAGACAAATACCATATGATTTCACTCGTATGTGGAATTTAGGAAACAAAACAGATGGACCTATGCAAGGGGGGGAAAAGAGAAGGAGAGGGGGAGGCAAACTATAAGAGACTCTTAATGAGAGAGAACAAACTGAGGGTTGGTGGAGGGAAGTGGGGGAAATGGCTAAATGTGTGATCAAGATTAAGGAGGGCAATTGTTGTGATGAGCTCTGGGTGTTGTATGTAAGTGAATCACTAAATTCTACTCCTGAAACCAACATACATTATATTAACTAACTCAAATTTAAACAAAAATTTGGAAGAAAAACAAAAATAAAAAATGAAAAGAAAAGAAAGTGGCTTGTTATAAAGAGGTAGAAGTGAATAATGAGATTATAAAAGGTAATATTTGGGAGGAGAAATGCAATATGTACACTGCTATGATTTGAAAGAAAATGAACTAAGAATACTCCTTTAGTGTCCACTATTTGACTTCTTAAAAATTTTGTAATTGTTTTTATTTTTTTAATGTTATTAAAATCTAAATAACTCAAGTAAAACAAAAGGAGTGTTAGCTCTGAATGTGTAGAAAAACAGTAATAACGCCATTGGTGACATTTATTCCAGTTTTTAATGGGGACTGGTAGTCCATTGCAAGCAGCAAATAAATGTCTCAAATTATCATCTTTGGATACCTAAAATGAAGTCTTATAAAAGGCAAAGATACAGGTAAGCAAGTAGATACCCTGCAACCCCGCAATTTCACTACTAGGTATTTATCCAAAAGATACAAAAATAGTGATTCCAAAGGGTACATGCTCTGCTCCCCAATGTTTATAGCAGCAATGTCCACAATAGTCATCTATGGAAAGATCCCAGATGCCCATGGACAGATGAATGGGTAAAGAAGATGTGGTATATACATTAAATGGAATACTACTCGGCCACCAAAAAAGAAAGGAAATCTTGCCATTTACTACAACATGGATGAAACTAGAGGGTATACTATGCTAAGGGAGATAAGTCAATCAGAGAAAGACAATTATCATATGACCACGCTGGTATGTGGAATTTAAGAAACAAGACAGAGGATCATAGGGGAAGAGAGGAAAAAGAAAACAAGACAAGATCAGAGAGGGAGACAAACCATAAGAGGCTCTTAATCATAGGAAACAAACTGAGGGTTGCTGGAGGGGAGTGGGGTGGTGGAATGGGGTAACTGGGTGTTGGACATTATGGAGGGCATGTGATGTAATGAGAACTGGGTGTTATATATGAGAGGTGAATCACAGGCCTCTACGTTGAAACCAATAATATATACATGTTAATTAATTGAATTTAAATTTTAAAATATGTAAAAAATAAAACAAGTAAGCAAGTAGAAGATACCTGTGAACACATTTGTCAAAATAAGGGCTATAACTGAGATCAACCATTGCTTCTAAATCCCCTGGGGAACTAAGGGATGAAATATGTTCAGGTCCTAAAAGTCTCACTTCAAGGTCCACATAAGGAACAGAAAGCTTCAGTGAACTGGCTCCAGTTACTTCTTGTCACTTCAGGGTCAAGATGTGGGCAAACCCTAGCCAAAGTCTAATCCTGTGACCGGCTGGTTTACCACACAATGTGAATGCTCATACTCCCAAGGTCTCTGGCCTTCAGGTTAGGGCACTGATTAAGTAATGGCTGGGATCCTGAAACCCGGAGTGGGACCCAGATGCAGACCCTGATGAAGCTGGGGAACTTGAACGGCTAAATTCTGTGAGATGATTTGCCAGTAGAAGCAAATCTTCCTCCTGTCTGAGGAGGTTATTTCCCCTTGGTCTGAAGAAGCAGTAATGGTCTTGCCTGAGGTAGCAGCCTTTTGGGACCCCACTGATCTGCCCCAGAAGCTATGCCCACTGCCTCCTTTTCCTTCCAAATCCCTTAACGAGTCTCATATTCCTACAGGCCAAATAGTATAAAGCAAAGTGATAGACACTTGCAGAGATAGAAAAGTCACCCAAAGATCTCCAACATTTTAAAATCCATATATACAAAATATTGGGGGATTTGCATGAAAATAGTTCTTTGTGGTGAGGTATGGAGGTAGAAGGAAAACAGAGTTGAATCAGACCACATTTATCAATGTAGGCTTATTAAGCCCAGACTCTGGATGAAATGCACTTTTTAAAATGTTTTATTTATTTTTTAAATTTCTTTTCAGTGTTTCAGAATTCATTGTTGATGCACCATACCCAGCGTTCCATGCAATACATGCCCTCCACAATACCCACCACCAGGCTCACCCAACCTCCCACCCCCCGACCCTCCAAAACCCTCAGTTAGTTCCTCAGAGTCCATAGTCTCTCATGGTTCGTCTCCCCCTCCAATATCCCCCAGCTCCCTTCTTTGCTTCATTGCACTACAGGGTATTTACCCCAAAGATACAGATGTAGTGAAAAGAAGGGCCATCTGTACCCCAACGTTTATAGCAACAATGTCACAGTCACCAAACTGTGGAAAGAACCAAGACGCCCTTCAACGGATAAATGGATAAAGAAGATATGGTCCATATATACTACGGAGTATTAGGCCTCCATCAGAAAGGATGAATACCCATCTTTTGTACTGACATGGATGGGACTGGAAGAGATTATGCCGAGTGAAATAAGTCAAGCAGAGAGAGTCAATTATCATATAGTTTCACTTATTTGTGGAGCATAAGGAATAACATGGAGGACATGGGAAGATGGAGAGGAGAAGTGATTTGGGGGAAACTGGAGGGCGAGACAAACCATGAGAGACTGTAGACTCTGAGAAACAAACTGAGGGTTTTGAAGGGGAGAGGGGTGGGGTGTTGGGTGAGCCTGGTGGTGGATATTATGGAGGGCACATATTGCATGGAGCATTGGGTGTGGTGCATAAACAATGAATTCTGGATCACTGAAAAGAAATTTTAAAAATAAATAAATAATTTCTTAAATGTAAAAAAAAAAAATGCTTCTGCTTCAGGGTTAGAGAAGCCTTTCATCATTTGCTTTGTTGCTGTCTTGGTGTGTTAAGGCTGCTCTAAGAAAACGCTCCAGACTGAGTGGCATAAGCAGCAAACATATTTATCACGGATTTGGATTCTGGGAAATCCAAGATCAAAGTATCAGCAGGTCTGGTGTCTGGCAAGGGCCAGTTTCCTGGATCACAGACGGCCATCTTCTTGCTGTGTCCTCACGTGTTGGAAGGGGCAAGGGAACTCTCTGGGTTCTCTTTCATAAGGGCACTGATGCCATTTATGAGGGCTCCACCCTACTGACCTTGTTATTTCCCAAAGGTTCCACATTCTAATACTATCGAATCAGGCATGAGGATTTCAACATGAGTTTCCTGGGGAGACCCCTAAAACATTTAGTCTTCCACCCTTGGTTTACTGGGCAAGTTCCAAAGGACACAAGGAGAAATGCAAGATGTTTCCTGGTGTACTACAAAGGAAGAAATCCAAAGGCTTAAGGAGATGGGAACATTAGAGTGAATTTACCACATAAGATGGTGTTCACTCACTTCCAGAGGTCCAGAGGATACTGTCATCAAGTCTGTGATAAATTGCTCTCTAAGGGGAACTCAAACATCTCGGGGAGCTCCCTGGCAGCATTTCTCTTTTCTGTTGGTCAGAAATTACTGTGAGGATCTCTGTGGTGGCATTTCTCTTCTCTATTGGTCAGAAATGACTGTGGGATTGCCCTCAAGCAAGGACCATGCTACACTGCCAAATATTTATGCTGTTAATCATTACCACAACCTTCCCCCAACGGACCTGTGGCCAAGTACTAGGGTGATGACACATGGTAGAAAGTTAGTAAACCAAATTCTAAGAGATGATTTGATACTGGCTCTGAACTGACATTAATATTTGAGAACTACAACTTCATGGGTTACAGAAATGGCTCATGTAAGTCATGGAATCAATGTGGTTTTACCTCATGTCCATCTCAGTGATAGGTCCCTGAATCCACTGTCTGGTTATTAATTTCCTCCAATTCAGAGTTTATACTTAGAATAAGAAGATGACAGAATTCCCATGTTGGCTCTCTGACCTGTGAAATGAAGGCTACCATGGTGGAAAGGCCAAGTAGAAGCCATGAGAACTACCTACCTATGAAGATAGTAAAAGAAAATGCAACATTTCACCTTGGAGGGAATGGACTGATTATACAGCATTGAGATTTGAAAGGGGCAGGTCGTGATTCTAGGACATCCCTGGCAACCTACCTATATGTCTGGTCCAGAAACAGACAGACCTTGGAGAAGGACAGGAAATTATAATAATCCTCACCACATGACTATTCCAAGTACAGCTGCTTGTCTACATGTGCTTTTGTTGTTTTAGCAATCAAACATCTACCAAGGCACCCGGCATATGTTATTGAGGGGGGAAATGGTTTTTCCCCTATCAGTAAATACCACCAGAGTTTGGCTTCAGCTTGAAAGGCTGGCAATAAGCCGCTTCTTACCTCAGGGGCTGAATGTAACACAGAACTCACTGGAGTGTGGCACCCATCTTCAAGTGACCTGAAAACCTACCAGCTTGGAGTGGGGCCCAGAACAAGACAAAGTTCTCTGATATGACCTCACGTACATTCCCAGTGACCAGTTGACTGGAAAAGAAGGAACATCATGTGTGATTTCCAGTTCTTACTTACCAATATGCAGGCCCAACCTATTTTAGACTTCTCTTCCTGCATATCAGTCAGCACACATTTAGCAGCTTAGAACTAGATAAATATATTCTCAAACAGTCCTGTAGCTGAGAAGTCCAGGCAGGCTTGATGAGGTTCTCTTCGTGACTGGGTCACGTGGAATTGAAGTCAAAATGTTGACCATGCTGGGTCATTAACTGGAGAGTCATGGAGAGAAACTACTTCCAAGCCCTTTCAGGTTATTGGCAGGTGTAGTTTCTCAAGGCTGTAACACTGAGGTCCCCATTTCCTTGCTGTCCCTCAGCTGAGGCCTCTCTGAGCTCCGAGGACCACCCTCATACCTCCCGAGGTGCACCCCTCCATCTTCCATGCAGTAATGGTGCATCATGATCATGGAAGCGGGAATGAAGGTTGTGCATCGAACACAAACATGAACTTCCACTCAGCAAGACTCATGGTATTGCAGATACTGATGACTGCTCCATCTGCCAGCAGCACAGACCGACACTGGGCACCTGATATGGCACCATACCCCCACGGGGTCAGTCAGCTAACTACCAGTGGCAGATTGATGATCTTGGTCTGCTTCAAAAATAACTGGGGAGAGGGCAGCTCTTTGTACATGAACACACCTTTATTCTCGGTAGGGATTTTCCTTCTCACCCAGGGTACTTTAGAGAACACCATGTGTGGACTTAGAAAATTCCTTCCCAACATCATGGAATTCCACACTGCATCACTTATAAACATGGAACTTGCTTCCCAGGTAACATGCTCATGGATCTCACAGCTATTATGTTTCCTATCATCCTGAAGTGATGGTTCAGTTGAACTGTGGTATGATCTTCTGAAGCCTCAGTTATGGTTGTACCATGGTGGCAGTGCCGTGTGGGATGGGGACAATATAACCTGGGAAGTGGAATGCTCCTTCTCAGGGTCAGATAGATGGAGCTGTTCCCGTAACAGACACAACTCTTGTCTTCAGCAAGTAAAGGATAGCAGCGTAAAGACTTCTGCTCATTATTGCTGCTTATGTATCTAGGAGCAAAATTTCCTTTCTCTTCCCCACAAGGTTAGGATCAGCAAGTGGAGAAATGTTTTCAACACGTGACCTCACTGACTCCCCTGAAATGCAGATTGAGACTGCCCAAACAACCACGTTGGATTCTCATCCCTCTCAATCAATGACCAAAAATGAGGTTCCTCCGTGATGTGGAGACATGGAACGTGACTATCAAAGGAAGCTGGATTGCCAACCCATATGGCCTAATAAGGAGTATGTGTGAAATATCTAGAGTTCTTCTTGGTACTCCCAGGTATCTGTGATTAGTTAATGGGATATTTCAACAACACAATCCAGGCAGAACACCTACTGGTCCAGACCCTCCAGGAATTAAGTTGTGAGTCATCCCCTCAGGACGAGCACCAGAACCCGCTGAGAGGTTGTCCCAGACAAAGGGAATAAGAAATAGTTAGACAGTACCCAGTCATAACTACCAGTGAGTTCCAGAGCATGCCAAGGAAAAGAAAAATATTTACTTGGTGATTTAATAATATCCCCAAACTCAGTCGAAAAGAAACAGAAAAACACCAGTTTAGCCATTCAGACAAAATGCTTAGGGCAAAAGCCCAACGTTTACTAACAGAAACTTGTAACATGAAAGTTGCAGTGCTTTTTCTTAGCCTCAAGAAGACAATTTCTTAGCTAACTCATGCTGGGAGGAGTCAACAATATCTGGTTGCATTCCAAGACAGCCAACTGGTTCTGCTTTCTCATTGATGATTGTGATAACAGGACTATAAGTTTAGGGAACCAATATCTTTCTTGAGATACTGGTCACATTCTAGTTTATCTAGAGCATTCCCAAGTTGATTTATTAAGTCTTGTCTTTCATATCTGAAAATAAAGAGACAAGTCATTAACCAAATGATACCCAAAGAACCGATGTTGCAGGACGCTCTGTAGAAAATGCAAAGAGAATCTCAGTTTATAGGAGAACAAAAAAAACACATGTGCATGGTGAGAGACAATCCAGTAAATACAGAGAGTGCCAGTTCAAGGTCAAGGCCCACCTCAAACTCGGGTGTGAACAGAAGGTTCCTTGAGCTTGCAAGAATGAGTGAGACTCAGATAATATCAATCTAAATAAGTGGAGACAACATGAACTCTGAGTGAGGATCAGGGTTTGAGAAAAATCAGGCAGGGCCCAACTCCACCCCTCACCAAGCAGTGCACTGGCTCTGCAGTGAAACATTACTGGACAGTTCCTCCTACACTCACCTTGCCGCTTCCTTCATGGCATATACAACAAATTTTTTCTGCACTTCTGGAGATCCTTGCATTCCTTCAAGCAATTTGAGGATATTTTCATATTCTGAAGATATTTAGAAAAAAATTCAGTATTTCTAAAGTACAAAGAGGAGATAGAACTCAATCTTGGAGACTCAGAGCTCATTCTAGGGCTAGAATGTTACAGAGTACCTGTGCGTTCCATCCTTACTTTCAGACATCTGAACATACCCAGCAATGGAATCTAGTACACAATAACCAATTAAGAAATACAAAAGAACAAGAGAAAAAGGGTTACTGGGACATTTCAGTCAAAATGAAGAGGAACTATTCTAACTGGGAAAACCCAATTCTGGCAAAGGATGAAACTCAAGATTTTATCAGTTGAATCTATTCTGATTCATAGAATGGGAATGATTTCCTGTGGTTTCATGGACAGAAATTCTTATTTTACTTACTTCCTCCAAACTGTTGAATTTCATTCCTTATTCGCTCTTTTATTTCCATATTGATTTTCACTGGTATTGGTAGTTGATCTGGCACATCTCCCAACACAGACATTGCTGTGACCTTGGGCTCATCTGCAGAGAGACAGCTGGGAATGATTCTTCCCACCAGTGCATCACTACCAGGTCTGTGAATCAGCCCACCCTTGTTGACTCTGGCTACATTACGATACAAAGAATCTAACTGTGTCAAATACTATCTCCTGCCATACTCACAAGCTCTGGAGATCAGATTTTGACCAGAAGCCATCAGGTGGTGATCAACCACTTTCCCTCCCCTCCCCGTGGACACTGTGAATGACAGGTGCGTCTGGAAACCTAACTGAATGAGGAGCTGCAATGACGTGCATTTCAACAACCCCATACGCACATCCATGTGCTTCACAGTCTCTAATATTTCTTTTCATAGCAGGAGAATGTACAAGATAGATGTATCAGGTATGAAATTTAACCTCAGGAAAAACAATACAACAAAGAAGCCTCTTCTATTCTTGTCACTACACATACACACAGAAACAGACTTGGACAATACAACGAATCAACAAACATTCACAGAGCCCTGGGACTCAGGATTCAATGTTCCCTTGATGCACTCTACAAGGGGAAGAGCTGAACGTGTCACTTAATGTCACGATGCCTGATATTAGCACTAAATCACTAGAAATCCCAGTCAGTAAATGATCTTCCTCATCTGGCTTTTTTGTCTCCGAAAACAAATTTTTTACTCCATGTGTGACATGTCTACTTCATTCACTCATGCTCCTCTGTGCCGAACATCAAGACAACAGTGGGGATCAGCAGTGAACCAGACAGAAGGACCCTTTCCTTTTGGAAGTTATAACTACTGTGGATGTCAAAGAGTACATGTACAATGAGCAAAGGGAATAACACAATTTGATTTTGTGTAAGGAAGAAGTCAGCAGGGATGTGAGCCAGAGTGGCAAAGGAAGCCTCCATGATGCCGGGTCCGGCAGGGTGCCCTGGGCAGAGCTAGGAGCAAGAGACAGAGCTGGCTTGTGCGCATGCAGAGGAGGCAGTCTGATAGCCATGAAGGCTGTGCATGGCCCCTACAAGGGGACAAGCCTGGGCCATGGAACAAAGGTCAGAGGCAGAGAGAGCAAGGAAGACACAGAGAGGACATGAGATGGCAGGAGAGGATGGCAGGGTCAGGAGGTGCAAGGTCTGGAGACCAGAGTCAGGAGCTCAGACTCTGTTCTGAGTGCTTGTGGAATTAATGATGGGTTTCAGGATATGCATGTAATGATCTGATTTCTGTGTGGACATGGTCACTCTGGGTACATGGGAATAAATGGGCCACACACATTCAGGTGGGAAAGCAGGACGTGAGCTCGGAAGCTCTGGAACAGCTTGCTGAGTGATAAGGCAGTGTGGATTGAGGGACAGTATAACGGTGGGACTCAGGAATGGTGACAGTGTTAAGAGGAGAGAAAGGAAATCAGAAAGGAGAAGGGAACCAGTAGAGTGCAGAGGCTGGGAAGCCAGGAATGTCTCCATGAAGGACAGAGTGAACACCTGGTCCAGTGTGGCTGAGAAATTAATGACAGCCTCACCCAAAGCCAGGGACCTTGATCAGAAATGACCCTGAGGCATGCAGGAGCCAGAGGCAGGGCTGCCCTGGGTCAGGTCAGGGAGGGTAGGGGAACACAGGCATCCTCACCATCTTCCAAGGACATGGCTGAGCCCTCAGGCTGGGATGATCCCTCTCCTTCCTCTCTCACTGACAGCAGAGGCATGCTCAGCCTTTTCTTAAATGGAGGTGGAGTGATGGATTTTCCAGAACGTTTCACTTGACTTTTGGGCCCAACAGCGAAGTCCTCTGCTTTATCACTCATCACTTCCTGAGGAGCATTAAGAAACATGTTCCATTAATGATTAAAAAGCAACCATTCTGAAAGAGGATGGAGGTATCTCAGGACGTTACCATAGAACTACATTATGACCCAACATTTGTAGTACCGGGTATTTACCCAAGGAACACAAAAATACTGATTTGAAGGGGTACCTGCACCCTGATGTTTACAGCAGCATCGCCGACAGTAGCTGAACTCTGGGAAGAGCCAGACTGGTGACTGACAGTTAAACGGAAAAAGAAGACATGGTGTACATCTACAGCAGAATATTACTCTGCTGTCAACAACAGTGAAATCTTGCCATGCACAATGACCTGGGTGCAGCTAGAGAGCAGAATGCTAAGCAAAATAAGTCCGTCAGAGAAAGGCAAACAGCAAACGAGTTCGCTCCCATGCAGAATTTAAGAAACAAACAGATGACCACGGGGCAAGGGAAAGAAGGGCAAACCAGAAAACAGACTCCTAAGTGCAGAAAACAAACTCAGGGTCGTGGAGGGGAGGTGGGCTTGGGGACATGTGTGTGACAGGGATGAAGGAGGGCACTTGTGTGATGAGCACCGGCTGTTGTACAGACGTGTGAAATCACTCAGTTCTACACCTGACACTAATAGTATCTCTATGTTACCTAAATGGAGTTTAAAGAAAAACGTGGGAAAGAATGCAAGCATTCCACCTGTGGGGCCTGGCTCTTACAATCTTGTACCTTCCCTCTTCCACAATGCGTCCTGAGCCATCAGCCAGGCATTTCTTCAGCATGCACGTGGCTGCTCTGGGGGCTCTCTGACTACACCCACAGTTGGATTGCTTCCTCTGCTGACTAGGAGTGACCACCCTGTAGAAAGGTCTTTGCATCTGGGGCCCATTCTGTCACCAGACACCAGAGAAGCTGTAGAAGTCCAAGGCAGAAAGGCAGGTGAGCCAGAGCTTGAATGGGAAGGGACTCCCCTTGTGCAAGATTTTCACTTGTGGCACGGCCTGTTCATGTTAATGCAGCTACAGCATCAGGAACTTGACCTGCTTGTGCATCTCACACAGGCTGGTCAGGGAAGGCAGCACGGTCAGGCAAGAGGAGAAGGACCAGGAGTGGGATCTGCCAGAGCAGGACCACACCTTCTCCCCTCTAACAGTGGTGTGTGCTCCAGTCCAGGTATGGTGCATCTCAGCAGGCCAGAGGGATCCCAGAGGGCATGGAGCCATTTCCCCTCACCCACAGCTGGGAAGAAACACACCCATCCTAGCTATACATCCCTTGGCAAATTCCAGAAGATCATGCTTCTCCCTCCCCCCATGGGGCTTGGTGTGCTGAGCAGCAAAGCACAGGAATCCACATGGAGAGGCAGGAAAATGGCTGTGTCCTAAGACTTCCATAGCTTTCTGAGGCTGGGCAGCCCAGCAGGGGACCCCAGCTGGGGGATGGGGTAACAAATAGACCTTACTGTGTGGTCATTCAAGGGTATTCAAACCTAGGACAGTACTGAAGTCCACCAGACCAAGGTGGTTCTACTGTTGGCAATGTAATCTGCTGCTTATATCTGCCAATCTTACATTCTACTATCCTGCTGCCCACAGGTCGCCAAGGGTTGGGAACCTCCTCTCCATGTCATGGTCCTTTGCCTAGTTCCTTAAACCATCAATAATATGGCCAAGGGCCTGGTCCCTTCCCCAGGGTCTCTTCTGCATTTAGAAGCCACTTCATCCCAGTTCTGGCTCCTCCTCATGATTGCAAAGTGGCTGCCAGGGCTCCTCAGTTACCTGCTACTCAAGTCCTGTGTAGCAGAAGAATGAGGTTACATCCTTCTGTAGCACTCCCACAAGAAGTCCTAAGGTTTGCTGTGATGGAATCCTTCTGTGCACATGTCCGCCTCCAACAATCATTTTCCACTACGGGGGGCATCAATCACAATGTGCCAATTTCCTTGGCTCAGGCCCCAGACAGCAAATGCATAGATTGAAAGATACGACCCCCAATAGGCTTGATCGTGGCCTCACATAGAATCCTGTATTCATTAATCAGAATATAATTTCTTCTCAAGCAGGCAACCATTGGCAATGGTGACACCAAAACCCCAATCCTTAATTTCATGTAGACTATGATATCTAAACAAATTGAAATTAAAGAAGTACTTCTTACCAACACAACGAAAGGTACTCCAAAAGTTTGTAACATACTTCTAAATCAATACTCACTATTGAACTCTAAGCAAACATCACATGACTGATTCGGTGGGACACATGAAATTGGGGTGGGGGGAAGCTTACAACTTCACATTCTGTTAGAAAAGAAACATTGCTGCAAATGAATGAGGTCTGTTCATGGAGGAAGAGGCAAAAAGACTATAGTGAGAGCTATGCTGTGTTTTGACACTTGTGTCTCCCCAACAGCCTGTGTTGAATTCCAAACCCCCAGGGAAGCTGTTATCAGGAGGCATCCACGTCCTTTGGCGGGTGCTGAGGTGCAGACAGTGGCCCACTCCTGAACCGGATCAGTGCCTCAGAAAGGAGGCTGCAGAGACACCGAGCCCTCCCACAGGGCAGAATGAGGGCGCCTGACCCTGAACTAGGCCACCGACCTTCCTAGATCACCCTGGTGTCAGCAGCCTGGTCCTGGTGTCCCAGCCTCCCCAGCCCTAGGCAACACATTTCTGTCCCTGCCACCTTCCCAGTTTCTGCCATGTTGCTATGGCAGCCTGAACAGACCAAGATGGCTCTTTCGCATGATTATCGAGGACAGTCTAGCCACAGATAAACAACACTAAGCCACCAAGCAGGAGTCCGAGACCTGCATTCAGAAGGGAGTTCTGTGAAAGACAGCAGGAACACCCAGAATGACTTTATACCAAATTTGGGAACTGAGATGACATAGACACTTTCCTAGAACAAGGAAACATTCCAAAAGTCACCGAGAAGAAACAGAAAATCTGAACACCTGAAGGCTTTCTTGAGGAGTGCTTCAAGACATTCCGGAGGGATATAATACCAGTATGCAAACTGTTTCAGAAAAGGGAAGAAAGGGTGTGAGTTCCCTACTCATTTTGAGATGCCAATATAAATGTGTTACTAACATCTACCAAAAACACTGGAAGAAAAGGAAAACGAAAGACCCAGATCTCTTTCCTGAATATAGACACACAACTCCTCAACAATAGTGAGCAAATTAAATTACACAGGACATTAAAAAAAAAAAAAAAACAAAGGTCACGCGTTGTTGGGTCTATTGCTGGAAGGAAGACTGGTTTCACCCTGGAAAATTTATCAGTGAAATGTGCTACATAAACAGCCAAAACCGGGGAAAACACACAACGCCACTGCAATAAATGGGTTGATGCTGGATACTTAACTCATGGTAAAAATCCTCAGCAACTTCGGATGAAAGGCAACTTCTTTAACCTAAGAAAGCTTAACTTTCCCCCTAACCCCCCCCCCCACAAAATGTACACAAATGTTGTATTTAATGATGACCCAACTCTTTTTTCTTGAGTTTTAAATAAGTCATGGTGTCTGCTGGGTTTTCAAGAACATACTGGAAGAACTGAAAACTGTCACATTTTGGAGAAGAACTGAGGTTGTCATTGTTCGCAGTGGACATGTTCTATATGTAGAATATCTAAAATACCGAGAATTAATAAGTGTACAATAGCCAAGTTACTGGATGCAAGAGCAAGAATCAAAAACATGTGTATTTCTGTGTAATGACAATCCGATTAGAAAAAGATATTTAAAATACCATTAGAACAGTGTCAAGCACATCAAGGGGCACCTGGCTGGCTCAGTCAGTGGACGGTGAGACTGTTGATCTTGGGGTTGTGTGTTCAAGCCCCATGTTGGGTGAAGAGATTACTTACAAATAAAAAAATTAAAAAAAAATCAAAACCCATAGAATAAAGGTAACCACAGGTGTGCTGAAGCACTACCCGTGAAACATAAACCTGATGGACAGAAATCAAAGGCCTCAGTAAATGGACCGTGTGGATACATCCATACCGTGTGGATGGGCAGACTCGTTATTAAGTCATTATTGCCAATTCTGCCCAGAATAATTATTGCATCATGCTTAAATGTAAGTAATTTTTTATTTAAAACTTTAAAAGCTCCCTGTTAATATTGGGGATAACTCATGAGCTGATACTACAGAGTATATGGATATCGAAGGGCCTAGAATAGCTGAGACCTTATTTAGGCAAAAGCACCAGGTTGGAAGATGCACACGGCCCGACAGCAGACGTAGGAGCCATAACAACGCTGTGGGGTTGGAGCAAGGGTGGGTGGATACACCAGTGAGACAGGGAGTCTAGACATAACTCTGAAAACAGCGGGTGCTAGATTGCTGACACCGGGGCCTTCAAGCCTCTGTGGTCCATTCAGTAAGTCCTCCTGCTCCCTGCGGGGAACAGCAATTCTGCTCTGATCCCTTTCCTGTCCATATAACACTGATCTCCCATGAATGGGAGAGCTAGAAGGACATGTAGGATATTACTTTCATGGTCTTAAAAGGTAAAGCTTTTAAAAAGAATGAAAGCACTGACCATGATGAATAGGTTGACTAATTAGACTTAATTAAACTGAGAATTTCGGTGCATCAAAAATATACTAAGATGGCAATGACTTAGGGCACCTGTGTGCCTCAGTTGTTTAAGCATCTGACACTTGACTTTGGATAAGGTCATGATCTCAAGGTGGTGAGATTGAGCCCCAACCTGGGCTCCAACCTGAGCTCTGTGCTGGGTGGGGAACCTGCTTATGATTCTCTCTCTCCCTCTCCCTCTGTCACTCCCTGCTTTTTGCGTGCATGCCTTCTCTCTCTCTCTCAAAAAAGAGAGTGACAAAACAAAACAGATCAGCAGAAGACACAGAAAATTATATTTTTAAATATAGGTATAAATATAAATATATGTTGAACAGCAAATCAATTTTAAAGCTACAGATATCTCATGAGTCAAGCAGAGAAAGTCAATTATCATATGGTTTCACTTATTTGTGGAGCATAACAAATAACATGGAGGACATGGGGAGACGGAGAGGAGAAGGGAGTTGAGGGAAATTGGAAGGGGAGGTGAACCATGAGAGACTATGGACTCTGAAAAACAACCTGAGGGTCTTGAAGGGGCGGGGGGTGGGAGGCTGGGGGAACCAGGTGGTGGGTATTGGGGAGGGCATGGATTGCATGGAGCACTGGGTGTGGTGCAAAAACAATGAATACTGTTACGCTGAAAAGAAATAAAAAAAAAAAAAACTACAGATATCTCAGTAAGATGTGGATGCACGTCCTGGAATGTCTCTTCAAAAGACATACATGAACCATAAAGCACATTAACCAGTACAAAATGCACATGTAGACATAACGAGAGCCCCCGCACACCCACCAGAGCACTGAGATTGAAGACGCCCTATAGCAAGTGTTACAGAGTATAGAGGGCAACCAACTCTCATATACTGTCAGCCCCAGATTCCCACTTTGATGACCACGGCCACCCACAGAAGGTTAGACAGAACCCCTGCGAGACTGAGATACAGAAACCCAGGGAAACTACCCCACCCCAGGCTGAGACAGAGCATCCAAACAAGAGCAAACCACCCCAAAGTGCACGAGAGCCCCCGACTAAGAATTCACCCCGAAGGCTGAGACAGACCACACGAGGGAGAATGTACCCGTTGAGCAGAGCGCCCAGAATGCTCCCCGGCAAAGGCTGAGACAGGGTAGCCGAGGAAGAGCAGCCCACCTCCATAAGGGGGACCAAGAGCCCAAGGCACCCTCCACCCAGGGCTGGGAGAGCGCACTCAAGGAGAACCCCCTTCTGGGCAGAGATGGACCTTCCGAGGAAGACCCTCGGCTCCCCGGACCGCAGCGGGAGCGCCAAGAAAGAGCCCAAACCCCCAGTGCTGAGCAAGCACCCAAGGTGAAGTTCTCTCCCGGCCACGCCCGGCTCAGACGGAGCCCCCCAGGACAGTTTCACAATCGTCTTAAAGCATCCGAGGAACGGCACCCCCGTAGGAGGGGACAGAGCCCCCAGAAAGTCTCCCCAGGACTAAGAGTCCCCACCAGGGACCAGCAGAACACCACAGAAGCCCAGCCCCACCATGGCTGAGACAGAGCACCCCGGGAAAATGCCCCCTCGTGCTGAGCTACACCCCAAGGCGAGTCTCTCGCAGGCTGAGGTAGAAGCCCTCAGGGACAGGAATCCGAGGGCTGAGCTGGTGCACCCCAGGAACCATCCCCCTCACAGAGCTTGAACGGAGAGCCAGGAACCACTGCCCCCGTCCCTCACTTAGGACTGAGGTGATCACCCAACAACAAGTCCCCTCACCAGTGCTGAGAGAATGACTAAGCAGAGTCCCTCACAGAACTCAAGACACCACCAAGGACGGCCTTGTCTCCAACATGGCTGACACAAGCTGCCCAGAAAATGCCTCCCCTGTGCTGAGGTCAGAACCCACCCACGTCTCTCCACAGAGCAGAGGTAGATCCCCCAGGAAGACACCGCGGCCAAGGGAGAGGCACCCCAGGGCACAGAGAGAGCGCCAGGGACAAGAATCCACTCTCCCAGGGTTAAAATCCTGACCTTGTCCCAGGCGCCTGGAAACAAGAATGGCAGTGACGTTGTGGTGCCTCTCAGGTGGGACTTTACAGAAAGGTGCCCCCTGGGAAATCTCTGGACATCCGCCCCCTGGGGGATCTGGGAGTGGTGCGCACAGACAGCTGTCCGGCCAGAAGGCCGATCTACTTATTTTTACTGCCCCGGGGAGGTGTAAGGGCATTTACAGGCCTTGGCGGGCTGTTGGCCACACTGCCCTGCAGCAGCCCGACCCCCCCGAGAAGCTGTGTGCGGTGCGGAACCGAGTGCTGGAGAAGCCCGTTGCCCCCCAGGGGCCAGCTGTGCCGGCTGCCCAGAACCAGGAAGCAAGTCTTTCCGGCCGCGGCTCAGGCGCCACCTACAGGCAGACCTCGGTCACACAGGCCACAAGAAAATAGACTTGTAGGAACCAGAACTCTTACATATGAGGCCGCAGCGTTCAGTTTCAAGATAAGAGTGGATCAATGAAAAACTGGCCCACTGTTTTAACAGAAGGAGAGGAGGGTGATTTAATCTTCACAGTTATGAGGAAAAATTAAATACATTTCATAAAATTTTGTCTACACAAATCTGCTTTGCACCCTATTTCTGGGGAGAATCATTGGAAGTATTTCTTGCACATAAAATGATAGCAAGAGAAGATTACGCACTGTCATCCCTATTATTCAACACTCCCTATAGGGGTCCTGCTTGGCACTTTAAGATGGTGAACAGGGCTGTGCACAGAGAGAGCTCTCAAACTGTGAGAACTGTTGGATGAGTCCTAGGAATGGTGCTTTTGAGGAAGTCACCAGTCACGTCAAATAGTGACAATTGTCTGGGAATGGAGATTTGTGGGGGATCTCCAATCAGTTTAGTCCCTTCCAGTGGCTGACAGGTCGCGGGTGTTCTGAGCTACTATGGACGTGAGGTCATTGGTTTCAAGGCTACCATGGAGCTGAGGAGGGGTGGTGATAACAGCAGAAAGCTCACTATTCCTAGTGGGATGGACCCATCTTTTGTGAGTGAATGCACTTTCAGTTGTTGCCCTGTTTGGATTAATTTATGCACAGTTCCGAAACCAGTTAATTAGGGAGGATTTGCCTGCGTTCTCATTGCTTGTGTGCTGGAGTGGATTTTCACAAGCTCTTCCTCCACCAACCCAGACGTGTCTCCTCATATAAGCTACATCTTAAATGAGGCTTAAATCATGCATCTGACTGTAAATAATTTATATTGCTTTCCTTTTTGTTCTGGAAGGAAGCTCGTATAGGCAGTGCCTGCATTTTAGAAAACTACCTGTAAACCAAGCCTCCTGAATTGCTTCTCTAGACAACTGGTTCTGTGAAATGCACATGAGGACATGGGTACAGATTCAGAGAGTGTACTGGTTTTTAATTTTGTGTAACAAATCACCCAAATTCAGTCGCTCCAAAGTTTCCCCCAAACATAGTAGGTGAAACCCATTTCTTCCTTCTTCTATCATTATTCTGTAGCTCTGAATTCAAGATCATCTTGACTGGGGTCTCTGCTTCAGGACTTGAAAAGTTGAAATCATGATTAGGGCCAAGCCAAGTCATACTGTGGAGGGCCTGCGGTGACACTGGCCTCCACCTCCTGTTGGGATTGTAGGCACAACCCAGTTTACTGCCACGTCAGAGTATGTTCCTTGATTTCTCAATGGCCATGAGCTGCAGGCCCCTCTCACCTCTCAGAGCCTGTCATTAGGTCTCCCTCTTGGGGTCCTGTCGTCTTAGAGGCGTCATGAGCACAGGCCGCATTGTCCTCGTGCAAAACTCTCCTTACTTGTAAACGTGTAGTTTCATACAGGAAGGTGGGCAGACAGCAATCGAAGTAGAGAACAAAGCAGTTGAATATTTTGGAATGACGTTAGTGGTTGATGTATTTGTGCATAAAATATTTGAGCTCTTAAAACATCCCCAGAGATGACTGAAAGTCCAAATGCTTTCATATTTTAAAACTGAATTGAATTCATAGGTCATTATAACACTGAGACCATATCTATTCTATACTATCGATATAGCTGCTAAATTAGCTCATTAAAAAAAAAAACTTCTGTGTCCTCTTTCTCTTATAAAATTAAAAACAAATGTTTCAAGCTTCTAGGAAAATATGTTAAATGTGGCATGTTGTTGAGAATAAAAGAAGCAAAATGTGTATTCTTGTCTCTTGATTGTACACCAGATTTGACTCATCCCAATCAAAATTTATGATTATTATGTACGATCACACTAAGAATAATGTCACAACAGTAAATAGTTTTATTGACTTGGTTGAAATGAAGAGAAGCTGATCACTGGGGTGCCTGAGTGGCTCAGTCTTTTGGGCATCTCCCTTCAGCTCGGGTCATGATTCCCAGCTCCTGGGATGGAGCCCCAAAGGCAGATTCCCTGCTCAGAGGGGAGTCTGCTTCTCCCTCTCCCTCTGTTGCTCCCCCTGCTTGTGCACTCTCTCTCTCTCTCTCTCTCTCTCTCAAATAAATAAATAAAATCTTTTTTTTTTAAAGCTGACCACAGCCTAGGAGATACAAATTTTCATACACTGTAAGAGGATGACATTGGCATTAAAATGCACAGGACAGAGACACGATAAGGGACCAAGTATGACAGGTACATACAAGTGTGCATAGAGGTCATTATGCCCACAGAAATGATTGTGTCAAATTTGTATCTTGATGGGCTCAATTTTTGATGAAAACAACTGGCTGAGTAATATTCTTTCTGTCTGTGAGATAAAGTGTATTTGAGTACAAATGGGGACATGATAAGGCATCAGACCAAAGGCAATCAAGATACAATTGCACACACATTAGGGACTGCCACAAAACTTCTGTAATTTTAATTTATTTCTTTATTTGAGAGATAGAATGCGTGCATGCTAGTAGGGCATGGGGAGTCTCAGAGAGAGAGAGAGAGAGAGAGAGGCAGAGAAAATCTGAATCAGACTCTCTACTGAGTCCAGAGCCCAACGCAGGGCTCCATCTCATGACCCTGAGATCATAATCTGAGCCAAAACCAGAAGTCGGACACTCAACCAGCTGAGCCACTCAGGCACCCTGAGACTTGTACAAAGTTTTAAAAGGTATGATATCAGATGACATAAAGACATTATACCAAATCAAAAGCATATTGTCAAATGGACTACAATTTCTTACATAACTTGTATAGGCAGGATCATATTATGAACAAAATTGAGAAAGTTAATAAAGCTCTACAACCATAAACCATGACTGTATATGAAGCCATTTGCTTCTAAAAAGGTCTATTCTCTTGATTACATGAATGAAAGAAAGTAACTTTGAAAGTGTGTTTGATGCCTATGTAGCCAAGGCAAAGATGGGAATATATTTCTTGAGTACCCAGTGAAGGGAAGATAAGTATAGAACTTAGAAATGCACAAATCACCACATGATAGATTTAATTTTTAAGGGGGGAGTACATGTCAAATAGAAATTAGGGAGTAAAAATGTACTAATTTCACATTCAAATGGAGATATTTCAAATTAAATGAAGGGTCCTCGAGGCTTGGAATTTTTAACAGAAAAACATTACTCCGTATGACTACATCTGATTTACAAAAAGAAGTGACTGCTGTGATTCATAAAGGTGATGACAATGTAAGTTCTGTAGAAATTTCATTGATAGCTATTAGTTTAAAGCAGAGACAGTATCTGGACTTTGTAACATATCAGAATTGTGTTTGGATCTTAGAAATCTGATTCGTGAATTTTCCTTTGTCCACTCTTTCAAAATGTAGTAGTCTTGCGATTTTTTTAAAGATTCTATTTACTTGACACAGAGAGAGAGATCACAAGTAGGCAGAGAGGCAGGCAGAGAGAGAAGGGGAAGCAGGCTCCCTCCTGAGCAGAGAGCCCAATGTGGGGCTCGATCCCAGGACGCTGAAATCATGACCTGAGCCGAAGGCGCCCCAGTCTTGAGATTTTTATTGAACAACACCAATCACAGCAGCATCCTGCAAAAGAACTTCCAGTAAGCTGAAGTTAAATAAAGATCATTAGAGAGCATCAGTTGGCAGGAGAGGTTGGCACACATGGCAATTTGCCTATCAAAAAAGACATTGGCAAAGAAGTATAGGTTGAAAATATGATTGATGAGTTTGCTACCATGAAACCCAGAAAGTCAAATTATAGTAAATTCTATTTGGGTACAAAAATATTCAAACTGAAAATAGTATTGTGAGTTAAGGTACACATATCTTTCAATTTTACAATACCTTTTCAATGACTTTCATAAATACATTTTTACTTCCTCAATTCCAATATAATTAACATAGTGATAAATGAGTTCTAGGTTTATATAGTGATTCTTTGATTCTGTACATTACTCACTGCTCATCATGATAAGTGGACTCTTAATCCCCTTCACCTATTTCACCTACCCCCCTCCTTTTGGTAACCACCAGGTTGTTCTCTATTCTTAAGTGTCTGCTCTTGGTTTGTCTCTTTTTTTCTTTGTTCATTTGTTTTGTGTCTTAAATTGAACATATGGGGGAATTCATGTTATCTGACTTTTTTTGACAAATGGATAGGGAAGATGTGGTATATACAACTGAGGGTCTTACTTTAGATGGGACGACACAGTGCCTCTCTGAGGAGGTGACATTTAAGGAGAGAGAGGAAGGATGACAAGACTTTGGAAGGGAGGGGCGCCTGGGGGGCTCAGTGGGTTGGGCCTCTGGCTTCAGGTCGGGTCGTGATCTTGAGGTCCTGGGATCAAGGCCCACATGGGGCTCTCTGCTCAGAAGGGAGCCTGCTTCCCCTATCTCTTTGTCTGCTGCTCTACCTCCTTGTGATCTCTCTCTGTCAAATAAATAAATAAAATCTTTTTAAAAAAAGACTCTGGAAGGGAGATTGAGGAAGGGGGAAGTCCACTGCAAAGGCCCCCAATGGGTGCAGGCTGCCACATGTAGAGAAGCTGCAGGCCAGGGTGGCTGTAGTGCAGGGATGGGGGTGGGGAGGTGAGGGTCCTGAGGGTCCTGAGTGTGCTTCATGTCTG